TGGCAGGCCCCCATCTTTTTAGCTTTCTGGAAGGCCATCAAGACCTGGCTTTTTACCCAGGTGCTGAGGTAGAGTGAAGATGTTTTGGGTTGGTTGTTTGGGCATCCCAAGGGGATGACTGAGGTATCACGTTTTGGTTGTGTTTTACAATGTTATGGTTTTTATGGTTTGGGTTTTTATTGTTGTTGTGAGCCACCCAGAGTTGTACTTTAAGATGGGTGGATATACAAATATTTTAAATAAATAAATAAATAAATAAATTTCTATAATTCTATAGTTTTTATACAGGAAAGCACAAAGTAAATTTTGTATTTGTGAAAGGATTTTATAGCTGAGCTTATAAACCTCCCTGAGCTACAAGTGGGGATTTAGGGTGACTCTGCTTGTTTCAGATGAAGTCAATTCTTACATTCTCTTAGTATAAATATAATATACAGTCAGGTCCAGAAATATTGGGACATCGACACAGTTCTAACATCTTTGGCTCTATACACCACCACATTCAGCCAAATGCTGCAGAACTCATTGGCATTCAGCCAAATGCTGCAGAACTCATTGGCATTCAGCCAAATGCTGCAGAACTCATTGGCATTCAGCCAAATGCTGCAGAACTCATTGGCATTCAGCCAAATGCTGCAGAACTCATTGGCATTCAGCCAAATGCTGCAGAACTCATTGGCATTCAGCCAAATGCTGCAGAACTCATTGGCATTCAGCCAAATGCTGCAGAACTCATTGGCATTCAGCCAAATGCTGCAGAACTCATTGGCATTCAGCCAAATGCTGCAGAACTCATTGGCATTCAGCCAAATGCTGCAGAACTCATTGGCATTCAGCCAAATGCTGCAGAACTCATTGGGATGTACATACCCTCAAATTAAAGCTGACAGTCTGCAGTTAAGGCACATTGTGTTTGTTTCATTCCAAATCCATTGTGGTGGTGTATAGAGCCAAAGATGTTAGAATTGTGTTGATGTCCCAATATTTCTGGACCTGACTGTAAGTATTAAGCCTTATAATGCCTTAATAAGGATGAAAATATTATAACATGGGCAATAAAATATCATTAAAATGAAAATTATGACTTTAAAGCTATAATTCTCTAATGAGAAAATGAAATTGCCATCCAGTGGCCCTTTTTAAGGTGATCCACCTCTTAGGAATGGGACAGAAAACCACCTGAAGGGCTGCAGTGAGGATTATTCCAGGTATGTATGAGATAAAGTAAGATTTGGCCAGAGTTCGACTCCAATCGTGCAGGTCTAGTAATGTTGACTGAGGTATGGTCTGGCAAGAGCCTGTTATCTGAGAAGAGTTTGAGCCTGTTGGCCCTAAGTAAGTGGACAGATTTCTCAGAGCTATTACTATGGCCTTCTGTAATCCATGACCCTCCTACCTTGGTTAAGCCATCCCAGGAGGTAATGTGTGAGTGAGTCAAACAGTTACCGTATTTTTCCGTCTATAAGATGATACTTTTTTCTAAAAACGTTACACTAAAAATTGAAGGGCATCTTATGCAAGGAAGTAAGCCGAGGAGAGAACCGTGC